CAGATGAGAATCTACTGTCATTAGAATTGGGTGGGGTTCCTCTATAGGTAGTATGCCATTTCATTGTCTGCATTCAGGATTTTTTTTTTCATTTTCATTACTGTTAAGACATTTATTCATGATGTATCTAGGTGTTGGTTTTTTATTTTTTGTTTTTTTTTCTCTTTGTGGTTTGCTAAGCTTCTTACATCCTATGTTTATGTCTTTTGTCAAATTTGACAATGTTTTTAGCTTTTGCCCACATTTTAATTGCATTGATTTCTTATTCAATTGAATCTTAAGAGCTCTTTGCATATTTTGGATACCAGTCTTCTATCAGATACATGTTTTACAAATATTTCCTTCTAGTCTATGGCTTGTTATTTTCATTCTCTTGGGAGATATTTTTTAAAAGACACCAAATTAACTTCTAGAGATTAAAACTACAATGTCTGAGATTGAAAACCACACTGAATTGGATTGACAGCAAATTAAACCATGCAGAAGAAAACATAAGTAAATGTCAAGATATAGCAATGGAAAATATTCAAAATAAGACATAGGAAAAGTAATTAAAAGGTAAGCAGAATATCAGTAATCTTCAAGTGGCTTAACTGTACATGTAGCCCTAGCTGGAATGCTTAATAAATTAGTTTGCTGAGCGAATGAACACAAAAATACCAATTAGGAGGCATTTGTAGTAGTCCAATCATAGATAAAGAGGAAATGAGATCTTGAACCAAAAGGGTAGTGGGAAGGGACCTGAGAGATATCTAGGAAATAAAATGGGTAGAATGCTAATAAGAGCTAGTAATTATATAGCACTTACTATGTACCAGGCAGTTTCAAGTGTTTTATAAGTATTCCTTTAATCCTAACAATAACCCCTGAGGTAGCTACTATTTTTATCCCTGTGTTATAGAAGATGAGGCCAAGTAGTTTACCCAAGTCAAACAGCTAATATTCAGCCAATATTTAAACACAGGTAAAGTCTGGCAGCAGAATCCTTGTTGTTTATGTTATTCTGCCCCCAAACTTGTGCTAAGATTTCCAACCTGAGTGGCTGGGTAAACGGGGTGCCATCCACAAAGACATGGAGGCAGGAAAAACCGGGGAAGATGCTGCGTTCAGCATTAGATATGCTGGTTGAGATACCTTTGTGGGGTATCCAGCAAGTGGTTTGATATAATCATCTGAAAAAACAGGTTATGGAGTGGACGAGGTATAGATTTAGAAATCAACAACATGTAAACCATGAGAATGGAGGAGATGATCCAGAGAGGACTGTGTATAATAAAAAGACGTGGACTGAAGGCCCTAGTGAAGACTATTTCAGGGAAACTAAGACGCAATGGCCTCACACGTATAAGGAAATCCCAGAAGACAGTAGTGTCCTAGAAGCCAAGTCAACAGGTAGCTAATGGAGGGAGTGACCAACAGTATTGGTATCAATGAGTTCAAGTAACAAAAAGACTAGAGACCATTTTGCCACCTCAGACTTCACTGAAATCTGCTATGATCACCAATAGAGGGATGAAAGCCAGAGTAGAATAGGTTAAGAAGTGAAAAGGCAAAAAATTGGGAAAGCAAAACTAATTCTCTATAGATTGCATTTTGTGGAAGAGGCAGTAAAAAAAATTCAAATCTTTTAGATGAGACTTCAGCGTATTTGAGTCCAGCAGATGGAACCAGTAGAAATGGTGGTAAAACAAAATGAAAGAGATGGAGGACCAACTTAACCAAAACCTGAGAGTTGGTCTTGAGCTGAAGGACAACTCAATCTATGAGATGAGGATTAGAATGGGTATGAGATTTTTAGGTGCAAGGACAGGAATACGGCCTTAATTGTATGGGTGAAATGAGTCTGCTGGGTAAGATAGGTAAGGATGTGTTACACTTAAAAGACTTAGGAATGGGAGAGGGAGCATATCTAAATGCAATTAAAGGACAAGTAATGTTATGAATAAGCCATTTATAAAATCAATCAGATCAAGATTGTTAGATAAAGACAGAAGGCTAGGAGGGACCAAAAGAAAATGGTGGAAAATACAGGTTGCAGGACTAAGATCAAATAGTGAGGACAGAACTTGATGGATAGATTGTAGGTAGAGTAGGATATTGGAGTTTAAGTTCTAACAGCTTTGGATGAAAATATCCAAGCTGTAGCCTGCAGAGTGGCTGGGTGAAATAGTAAGGATGAAAGCTGATGAAAGCAAGAATCATGGGGTTGGGTTATTAAATAAGGCTATCTATATAAGTACATGTCAGAAAAGATCTAAATTGCTGGCACTCTTAGGGAGACTGCTGTATTTGCTTGGAAAAATACACTTGGAACGGGAAAGGGAAAAAATGATTGAGGTAGATGATGCATGTCTCATGGCCCTGGGTGCCACAGCTTAAAAAGTGGGTAAAAACATCTGATTGTTACTCTGGGAGGGGTGGTGGCTGTAGAGGGCAGGGAAGAAAGAAAAGACAGAGGGAGGAGGGGGAGGAGTCAGACACGGGCAGCGAGTGGAGGGAGAGCTTAAGAGGAGCGCAGTGACAGGCTGGTTAACAAAATAAGTAGGAATATCTGATTTTGAGTTGTGAAGTGTGCAATGTGACCTAACGCCTCTACTCCCTGGCCCACTTCCCCCTCCCCCCAACAAAGGATCACTCCGCAGCTCAACTGAGCTTACTATTCTCACCAGTGCCTTGTGAACAAGTGCTCAGCTGTTAGGTGTGACCACATGGTTTCTTGCCCAGCAAAATGTGATCAGAAGTGGTCAATGTCATTGTCAGGAGAAAACACTAGGGCAGTCTCTACTCACTTTCCCTGTCACAGCAACTGACAACATTCCAAATGGTAGCTTGGTCATTCTGGGTCCGTGAAATGGGAAGCAGACCCCCACGCGACTCACAATAGACATGTATAGCAATAAGTTGTTCTAAACGACCTATTTTGGGGACTTTGTATTGCAGGATGTAATAGTATAGAATTCCAATATTCTATTATCAATTGCTGTCCTGTCAATTTTATCTCAAACATCCTGACTTCCACTCCCAAACTACACTTGTTCAGCATACCATTCCCTCACCTGTATTATCCTAGTAATGTCCTAATCAGCCCGTCTTGCCTTCCTACCTGAACTGCAGCTAATCTTTCAAAAGTACAAATCTGATCACGACTGCCTTTAAGCCTTTCTATGGCTTGCCATCATCCCTGAAATTAAATCCTGTTTACAAGGCCCCCTATCATCTGCCCTTCCCCGCCTCTCACTACTCTCCTTATATTCCAAACTAGGGCCATACTCAGCTTCTGAGTACAAGGTGACTTCCTGTCTCCGTGCTTCTGCCAATTCTGTTTTCACTCCAGAGTACATGATCTCCTTTGCTCAGGCTTGACTGGCTCCCCAGACCAGGAATCCATGCCACAAATCACGCAGAATCATATATTTCCCTGTTACACTACTTATCTAGTGCGTTTTCCCAACACTGGCCATGATATCAAGTACATAGTACTAGAGTAGGAGGTACCAAGGGAAGGAAAAAGGTAATTAATAGCTTCGAGTTTGATGATCCATTTCCAAGAATGGAGGCATGGTGATAGGTTTGATTGTCAGCCTTGACATGTAGAGCTGAGCCCCTGCTGTGCTAGTACAGATCAGTGGGGACCCTCACCTGAGCAGCCACACGTGGTCATCTATCTGATAACACTTGATTGTACTTCAGAGGACAGTTAATGCAGAAGCAAATTTCTAAATCTTTTAAATGTAGATTTTGAAGACTGATTTTCAAGGTTTCCAAACTCAGCATTCTGGACTTATTCAAACTGCTGACCAATCAGCGTCATTAATATTTCAGTAACATCATGTAAAAGGAAAAAAACTTATTTTTGCTTATCCCAATTCTCCCAAATGGGACTGAAATGGTTTAGGAGCTTGAAAGACGGCTCACTCGCTTGTTACAAAGCCTAGGCAATCTGTGCTAGTTTCGCTGCCATGTGCCTGCCACCATCAGTCTTTAAAATCCCATGTGTGGGCATCAAGATTCATAAAGCAGCCTTTTATTTTATTCAAAAATCAACTAACCCTAGAAAAGTAGCATGAATCTGCTAGAGTCAGCTTAACTTTAATAGTTGCCTTCGAAGTTCAAATATATATTGTTTAAGAATTACACAAAACATCACTATTTGGCATGTCTTTAAACATTATAGCTCAATAGTAAATTACCCGTACTAGTTCAAGCAAGTTAAGACAAACTTTTCTTGGAGTGTAAATGAATCATTTTGAAAACCCATTTACTCTTTTCCTAAGAATTCAAGTAAAACAAACCAGTTGCTCATGGCTACTGTTCCTAAACTTTTTAATATAGTACACTGATTCCAAAGCACCCAAAATGCATCATACGCCCCTGTATAGTAGCAGTCCCTTCATACTCGTATTTCCATTAAGGATGCAGATAGCACTTTTTAGCCATAAAACAGTATGTTGAAGGATTTCTTAAGGACCATTCATTTAATTCACAGGAGGTAATATAATAGTATATAGAGTATGAACCTTTCTTCATCAAATCATGATAGTTCTAATTGGTGGAAGAAAAGAGGGTGATTAGAAGCACTACTTAAATTTAGTTAGGAAGACAAAGAACTGACACTTAAGAATGTCTGAAAACTTCTACTGCACAAGTGCATCTCAGTTGTCTACAGCTTCTAGAAACAAGAAAAATTTTTCTCCAAGACAGTGGTTTTCGATTGAGGAAATTCTGTACTCCACCCCACCCTCCCCTGGGACATTTGGGAATAATAGCTGGAGACAATTTTGGTGTCAAAATTGGGGTTGGTGGTGTCACTGCCGGTATCCAAGTGGGTAGAGGCCAGGGAAGCGAATACCTCTCAGTGTAAAAGGCAGCACCTCATGACCAAATTATCCAGTGCAAACTGTTAATAGTGCCAAGGTTGAGAGATCCTGATCTAAAAAGAACATAGGTTTTTCTATTAAAGTATCAATTCTGGAGGAAAGCATTGATTTTTACTTCTAGAATAAGGAACCAGGAGTTTATTTCCAGACCTTTTAGGCTAACTTAGTTTATGGATGGTAACGATTCCAAGCAAGATGCACATTTGTCTTTTAAAAATACTCAAAGATTACAGTAAGCTACCATCACACACATTTAAGCTGCCCTTACCTAAGTAAGCAGTGGGCTTATATGAAAAGTAAAATGTCTGTGAAACATGTAAAACAGCTTTTCAGAGTTAATAGGATTATTACAGGATATTAAAACATGAGGTTATCATGGTATTATACATTAACCAGTTCTGGAATACAATTCTTGACTTTTTGTGTGTGAGAGAGCATTCTCAAATAAAATCACTCCATGTGCATCAACCATTAAGTTACTGATAATGGCTAAATACACTAATTCCAATACTCCCTAATCCAGAAAGAATTACAGTTCACAGAATACAAGCTCTTTCTCTTCTAAGACCTAAGTGAAACAATTCAATTTGACAGAATCACCACTGATAATCATTTAAGATCAGAACAAAAAGGTATGAAGCGATCAGGGTATTAAGACTCCCTCTACTAAAAATCATTCTGAAACCTGATACACATTGACATTACAGGGTCTAACAAAATAACATTACCTGCAATATTCCCCTCAGTAGTTTTAACTGAAGTTGGTTTTTATGATGTCCAATGAAAAACTAATCCTGTTTTTGAATTTAGAGCTAACTTTCTAAGTTAGAGTAAAAACATATCGCTGATAGATCTTGCCCTAAATTACACTCCAAGTGTTCTTTCTAGTACTAACAGGAAAATAAAGCAACTTACTGTATTGTAAAGAAAAAACATGTGATTTCAGTGTGCATCTTTCTTAATGGCCTTATCTGGTGAGCTTCTGGCAGCTTGCCAGCAAATACTTCCGTGGTGTTCCATTTTTGCAACTAAAGGTATCAAAGGAGTTTCCTTTAATTAACTGGAAGTCAGTTAAAACCAGAATAGCCTTTTTCCAAACAGTAAAATGAACTGTTACTGTACTGTCCATTTTCTATTCCACAGATTAAATAAGCTTTCAAAGGTAGATAGGAATCTTGGGTGGCAGTGGTTTGAAAATGAGGATTCAATTTAAGATAGAGCTAGAATCCAAATATTTGCTGACATTTTTAAGATCTTGAATACCAGAACATTAAATTTATCTAGATGCTGGCAGTTAATTTTAACCATTTAAATTTTTGGTGAAATTTAATGTGGGAGAAATGTTTCACTTTTTAAATTGTATTACTACACACTTTGTCAGGTGCTAAATATAGTTTACAAGGCCTATTAACCATTTAATTGAATTTTTCAATGGCTGAGGATTTTGTATATTTCATTATTTTGAACTACAATCATACCGATATAATCATATTCATACGTCTGAGACTAAGCTGGATATGAAGGTATCAGAACATCCCTTAGAATTGGTTAAATTAGATATGCCCATGTTATTTATCATTTACCCAACAAAAGTTAAAAAAAATTACTGGTTTGGTTATTTAATTATGATTACATAAAAATTATATATTCAAACATTTGAGGAAGTCATCATACTCCAACCTTTTTTTGAATTCCCAAGAATTAAGAAGTTTAGATGTCATTAATGAATATATGACCACCATTTAAAAAATTATTCAGTGCTATTGATTTTATAAATAAATATTTAGACCTTGTCATTTTATCAAATTTCCTTTCTGCCTTAGTTTCATAAAAGAATCTAACCTCAAAACACATTGTTTTGTACACCTGAAATTAAAAAACAAAACAAACCAAAAAAACCACAACCCCATATTGAGCTTTCTTTAAAAAGAAGTCAGGTAGATCTAAACAATTTAAACATCCTCAAGAAAATCGGCAGACAGCTGTTTTCTTACTATTAACTTTTAGATCTTCTGAAGAACCTACATATGTAGAAATGCTAAACAGAACTTCCTACTGCTACTCAACAGACCAGTAAGCAGGAATGGCCGACTGTGACTGCCTCACACCCTGTAACTTCCACCCCAGTATCAGGACATCACCACTAGATGCATGGCGTCCATCAGAATGACTTAGCATTTAAAACTTCAGTCTTCTGTTAGTAATTTTATGTATCTGAATATACATTATATATAGGTATATATACATAAAAACTATTATCTACTACTAGAAAGAGCAAACTATGTCTTTTTGTATTAAGACAGAATTTCAACTGTATTAAAATAAAATAGCCATTTTGCAAAACCAAAAAAAAAGGCATCTTGGAAGATTAAAAAAAAAGACCAATCCAATACATGAAAAGTATTTGAATATAACTTCAGATAATTAACTAAGACATTCATACAATATATGCATGTCAGTCTCCTATTTGGTCCTATAACCTGCAGTATTCTTAATTACTGTGGAACCATATAACCAAATATTTAAAATATATCCACAACATGTATACCACGGTATAATGTATAGTACATAATATACTAAGATTTCAAAATAAATTTCTATTAGTTTTATGCAAATTATGGTATATTATTGCCTGCCACATTTTGAAATGGCACCAACTTCATGTAATGTTCTGTGTCAATGTACTAGTCAAAATCCTTACTGGTAATGTCTTATGCATTATCATCTGAACATTCAAAATCAAGCTGTTAATCTAATAACCACAGTATATTATCCATTGAAATCACTGCATATTTGGATGTTTAAGCAGGTTAAGTAATACAGCAGGAAAAGTATTTCTAATTCACAGTTTCAAAAATTAAGTGTGCAGTTTTCAAATGTCTGATTGCTTAAAACTGGTCACTACATGTAACAACTGCCTCCTTCAATACATGTAAACTATGTTTGCACAGCATTGGGAGATGTCTTTATTTCAGAAATTAGTTCTGACTGTTACAGGAGCACCACAAATTTGAAGGAAGAGACTACAGTGTGAAATGAGTTCACTGAAGGTTATGTTAAATAAAGTCTTAAGTACGATTAAGGTACTGCAAAGCCGTTTTGCCCGGCACAGACCCCTTTAAATCAGGAAAAGCAGTCAATGCTTACCAAATACAATATGTAAATTAGATCTACAAGAAAGGGGTAGGACTCTAACTCAACTAAAAGAAAATACTATTAGCCTGTGATAGCCGGCCTCAGAATGTTCATAAAAATAAAACTTTAAAACACACACAGTATTTGTATCCTTTGATAAGGGATGTAGAGATCCAAAGGGAATGAAAGAAAAAGTGGGCTGTAAGAATTTAATTTCTAAGTGGAAACACACACACACACACACACACACACACACACACACACACACACACACAAACACACCAAACGGGTAACTGAGAAAAACTGAGTACTTAAATATTCAAATTTTAAATGTCTAAGAAAATGTATAATAGAAAAACGTGGCAAATTGTTGTGATTTGATTTGCTGAAAACCTCTGTAAATTCACACTGGAGTTAAGAAAACCAGTTTCAAAAATTTCTCTTCTCTCACTCTCTCTCTCCACATGTTTTCTGTGCAAAAATAAATATCTGCAAATTGCACTAATACAATACTTATTTTAACTTTTGTATTATGAATAATCTGCACATGCTGCTTTACAGACAATACATATTTGTAAACTTGCTCATGCAAAATTAGTGTGCGCAACAGGGATAGTGTTAATCCCCATATTTTAAAATAATGACACCTTATTATCTTTTTTATACTGCCAAACCCTCTGAAGTGTAACAAATCTTACAGATATTATCTGCCAACTAAAAATCAAGTTATGTTGCTGAAACCAAAAGTTATACAAGAAAAAGAAACATGGTTTTTGTCTTGCAGAATTTTTGATTTTTAAATAAGAGAAATTTTATAAAAGAAAGAAATTCATGGTCACAAAATTTTAACATTTTAATCCTAAACATTACAGGGCAAATAGATCCTGGACCCTATCTCCACATTCCATAAACCCTAACTTTTAGTTTCCATTTTAAATGTTGCCCTAACCACTAAAACATTAGTGGTTTTACAACCTCTGGATTATGGAAATACATATTTCTGAAATAAATGTTACAAAAACAAAAATGGAAGAAAGCCAAACTGTCTCCATGAAGGAAAAAAAAGTGGAACATTTTGAAGCTTTTAGACACTTCTCTTTCCATGTCTGATGATTAACCTGTCAATTCAGTGCATCATATGGTCAATGTAATGGTCCCCATGGTGAACAAACATCTAACTAGTGTCCATTGATTCCAAGTTAGTGGAAGATGAATCTTTTTGGATACTTTCAAAGATGGCTGCCAGCTCAGGGTTAGAACTGATCTGTGACTGGAATTCACTCATCAGTGGACTCTTCTCTGCTTCTGGAATGGTCAGCAGTGCTGCAACTGCTCTCATGGCAGATCGCTTTAGTTCATCTTGCTTTTCAAACTCCTGCTTTACTGAGTTTGCCTTTACCTGTAACATTGAGTAAATTTATATTATATGCTATATGAACAAAATTTAAGCACGTAGAAATTTCTGGTAAATAAAGCTACTTTTTCATAGTCCAAAAGTTACATTATATTTTAAGCATAGTAGTTTCTAAGCTTTTTAGCAGTAGTTTGTCTCCTTCTCTTTTAAGGGAATATCTTACACAAAGCCCATTATAGAGACAGAAAATCCAGAGCTATTACGGATGAAAAGAGTGGGGCTTATCTGCCTAGCAAGTCCTACTTTGGCCTCCACAAAGAAAACTGTTCCTCTAAAAATGCAGTTCATTCATTATTATTAAATACATCATGGACTGACACCTCTGTGCCTTAATTCATGTAATCATTTTTATATGAAAAGCCCTGTTTCACCTTCTGAATTTAAAAGTATTTCTGACTTTTCAATCCATTTTAAATGCCATCACTTGCAGATGCAGTCTTCTGATTCCCACCCACAGACCTCCACCAGAGTTAAACAATTCCCCTTTTGTGGACCTATCACACTTTATCCCATATTAGTGCTTCAAGATATTTATCATATTGCTATAATAAAAACTTTTAAGAATAGCATTTAATAGTGCTAAGTTTTCTAAAATATCCACATTTAACAGGTTGACTTTTAAAACCAACTGTCTATATGGTGTTATCCATGGTTAAATTAGGAAAAGTACATATAGAGTTAACTAGGAATCCTGACCACACCAAGTCTGGCCCAAGCTGATGTCTACCAACGATTACCTTAGTTGTACATGTGGCCCGTAATGGCTCCACAAGTCGGTCCAACCTCTGCAGTACTGCACTTGGACAAAGGGTGGAGAGTCTCACCAACATTAAAAATGTCAGCATCTATACGAACAAAAAAAGATTAAAGAAAGATAAAATTTAGACTTTGCATTATTTCCTAAAGACAAAATCCAAATTCTAACAAAGCTTTTAAAAGGAAAATGACTAGCACACACCATATAAAGTTTCATTTTAATGTAATTTGCCATTTGGACTCTCACAGAGCCGTCTCAAACCTTATCTGAGGAATTTTAGTTACAAGTACAAGAAAGACCTTACTCATAATGTGGTCTAGTATATAGATAGAACTAGAAAAGTGGTTCTCAATCCTGGTCATACATTAGAACTAGGGAGCTTAGAAATATACCCATTCTTCTGCCCTGTTCCCAGAGATTTTCTTAACCTGTCAGGACAGGGCCATAGATTTATTGGGTTGTTGGAAAAGTCATGACGTATTTTTTTCTGTTTTTCATTGCAAAAATGCGTCATGACTTTTCCGACAACCCAACAGTATTTTTTAGAAAGCTCATGTGCAGCAAAATGGAAAACCACTGAAGAAAATAATTGCTGGAAAAAAGTTTTATAAGTTTCTACTGTTTTAGCATTTTTCTATTGTTTTAGGATTTTCCTAAAAACAAACCAAAATTCCCAAAGACTGGTTAAGATTAATCCATATAAAACCTAGCAACCCATAATCTTTTTTTCTCATGGGCTATAAACTATAGAATTGAGGACTCTTTTTAATGGGTTCTGGGGGGGGAGTCAGGCTACTGCCACACACAGAAACCTAAGAGGTGGCGTTCTGAAAGTCTATCTGAATTACTGCTTTACTGCCATTTTGCCTGCTTGACCAAAGGCCTTGGATGCAAACGTAAAGAAAAAAAAACAATGCACTTATTTTTTATTTTTCAAATCACCTTTTCATAGTTCACATTTAAAACAGACATGAGCAAATAGGAAAACAAAGAGCAGTTATGAGCAAAATTCATGCTTTAAACCAAAAAAGTGGTATGGTTTCTCTCTATTTGCTTCTAACAGATTACTTTTGAGTATCTGAAAACAGTTCTTCCATGTTACCCTTTAACAAAACTCTTGATATTAAATCCAGTATATTAGATTGGAAAAAAACAAACCCTCATTCGGGTAACATGGTTATCATGCAGAACAGTCCTACAGACAGCCAAAGAGAATTAGCCAAGACAATCATAGGAAACTGAAAAATCCTCCATGGGCAGTAACTGCAGTACAACTATTAAGACAGGCCAAAAAGATTACAGATTATACTTTACATAGCAGAACCTGCCTGGATTCTTCTTTGGAGGGAAAGGATATAGGGACTAATCAATCTGGCACAGGGAATTTCTTAGAATTTTCCACCCACTTAGACTTCCTCCTCCAATGAAAAGGTTTCTGAAGTTTTCCTGTGTGTCAACTGATGTTACAACTGCATCACTATTACTTCTGCAAATTATAGTTTATAACACTTATTAAAATCATGACAAGCAAACCAATTTTTCTCACTTAATACACAAAAGTACATTACAAGGGTAAGTCACTGTAGCTAAGTATTCTTCTGAAACATTCTATAAGCAGGCACAATCATCTTACCTTAATATCATAATGGTCCTTCAAACCATCTTCAACATGATTTAGAAATTCAAAGATATCTAGTCTATCAAGACAACTGTCTAGAAGTGTGTACATACACTCAAAAGCTGCCTTTCTAATATCCAGGCCGTCATCCACTGTATGCTTAAATGGACCCATTTCTACCTGTTGAAACAAAAAAAGAATGTGTGGATATATTTAAGAGCAAAAGACGAGCTTAGAGAAAGTGTAATGTAACTAGCTTACCTCTCTTATAAGCTCCTTTCTAACTTTCGTTTCATTGTAAAGATGTGGAAGAACAGTATCTAGAAGATCCCTTATTAAAGATGGCTTATTGTGTGCTGCTGAATTGAATGTGACCAAGGCTACTCTTCTTACATTCAAATCTGGATCTTCCAACGTTTTTAGGAAATCACCTGAAAAATTATAAGAGAAGCAACAAGCTTAAAATAAGATATGCATTGTATTTTTTTCTGAATTGACAATTATTATTGTTGGTATTATTGTTACTTCTTCAATGCATGTCACAGAAGAACATGATGAAATACTAAATGAACTATAGTTTCATTTTGGTAGCAGGTAAACTGTCATGTCCCAGTGTGAGAGGATTTGACAGCACCTATAATACAGGGGGTATGGAGTAAAGTCCAAAAAGTTCCCTGATTACTTTTATAGTTTATAAAAAGGTGGGTTCCACAGAGAAGTGATGGAGCCAGCAGGCACAGAACTAAATGATTTAAATGATTTGTCATTAAACTTAAATGATTGTCCTTAAGAGTTCAAGATTAGTACTTACAAAAGCAACCAAAACAGAATTTTAAAAACTGAGTTCAAACTTCAGATAAACAGGGTGAGGACAGATCCAGTGCTAGATAAAGATGGAATACTGTTAACAAGTACACAATTTATCAAATGATAGAGAGAAGTATGCCTCCAAAGCCCTATTTTTATTTGTATCTTTATTAACAAGAAATATATGACTTGGTAAGAGGATAAGGGTACAAAACGAGGAAACAGAAACCTAACATAGGACAAAAAGCTAAAGGAAACATCTAGCCACTTTAAACCAGGAATGTCTGATTGTTCTTGCAAATGCAGGGAAGAAATTATAGTGCAAAGATCTTTGGAGTCATACAGATGGTGATCCAGACAGCTTCACTTGTCAATTGTATGACTTTTGGCGAAAGCCTCAGTTTCCCAGTTTATAAAATGAGAATTATAAATCTTTTAGGGCTACTGAGCAGAATAAATACCATTTTATTGTTGAACACAGTGTCTGGTACACATCTGGTATTCATCATTACACAATTTCAACCTTACCATTAGCAATCTTTCAGAATACACAGGGTAAAAATAGAAGGGCCAGAAGACTTAAATGTACCACAACGGCAATTTGAAAAAATGGGAGGAAAGAAATACTTCAGATACCACAGGTTGGTAAACTCAAAGTTGACCAACCAGCAAAGTCCTGATTACAAAAAATGCTTAGGAGATAGCTTGGGTTCAAAAATAATTTAAACGTACCAGACTAAATCTCCTCAACCCCCTGTTTGCTTAGAGTTACTAAGACGGTAAATTAGAATATTAATTAGAATAAACATGATTTCAGTAAAGCATCTAAAATATTGCTGTTATTATGGATAATGGTGACAAGGACTAGGATCAGTGGTTCTCCTTGGTCTAGGAATTTTACTTTTTAAAAAGCTTTCTACGTGGTTGTGATGTTCATATTAGTCACAAATAATACTGAACTAGATCATAATTCAGTTAGAATGATAACCATCTGACTGAATCACTATACCAACGATGAACACCGTTTGACTGTTGTCAACCTGGAAAGATGTCTCTAGAAATGTGGCACGGGTCTTTTCCTTTGTCCTACCTTATACAGTACCAAATACATAAAACAAAAAACAGGGGAAGGGAACAAAAGCAAGAGTCTTCTGATAGAGAATTTCTTTGAATTATTTCTAGGTCCCAGCAATAGCTCCCCTTTACTCTGAATTGGTAACCCCTTTCTGTACTGTTTTAAACTGTTTTTCCCTTCCTGGCACACTGAAGATGGCCTGACACTGCAAAGCTTCTCTGCCACATCCCTCTATCTTCTCTGCTGGTATCCCCGTTCTTCTGTCCTCAAGGAAGCACCAAACTGAGTTCTGAGGGGTTTAACTACTACCAACTCTGGGAAAACTGATGATAAAAACAACACAGGGAAGTTATAAAATCATGAAAATAATCCTAAAAGCGAATTCTTGTCTTCACAGAAATAGGGATAGCCCTAGTCTTTCTAGGATATCTTCTCTCAAGTTCTTCTGGTAATTACCTTTTATGCTAAGGTTGTTCCCACCTTATATATGGAAGGGTCAGACGATCCCCTTGGGAACTGGAGGGTTACAATAACAGAAAATTGGGGCCCTAATAGCTCAAGTAAAATTCATTCACATCTGGAGGGAACTTCAGAACTATTCAGATAGATCAAATATCTTTTCCTTCATCCATTAGTTATTTTAGGTCATCCCCAAAATATAATTATCAAATGTGTAGTTGACTCTAAAGACATCCTAGTGTATTTACTAATTTCAGTTATTTGCAAAATTATCTGGCTATAATTTCAAACTAAGGGATGATAAAATGTAGAATGTAAATATATAAAATTATACATTATCAATTATCTTTCTAATGAAACAATTACCAGACCCTTAAAAGCATTTTAGTTCCTTAGTGTTATTTTTAGTTATTGATGAGATTCATTTTTTGACAATTAACTACTAAATAGTTAATCAGTATGTTTATCTTTGTTTCCACTTACCTATACAGTTCTTTAACAGTGGATCAATAGGTTGTGGGTGATCAGAAATAGTAAACTTCACAGCTGTAACCACTGAGCTTCGGGCATATGATGAGCCTAATTAAAAATAAATTTAAGTCTATTGGTATGTAAGTCCACTAAAATCCATAGGCATCTTTATCATTTTCAAACCACTTCAAATAACACCAGTGTCTTCAATTCTTTAAAATTCTCTTTGGTTAGGAGGGGTATTTTTTACTGCTATCTGAATACTAACAGAACAAGCAAAATTTACTCATCTTATGAAATACAATCCCATTCGATTTCAAAAGAAACAATTTCTTCTGGGAAGGAGGAGACCTCGGAGAACAGCAGTGGAGGATCTAACTCTCACAAAAGCGAAGTGGTTAAATCCATATAAATAGCTTATACTATCTTCAAGTATTTTATTAAAAAAGAACGCAATTTCTAAGAATAAATGGCTATTATTACCTTCTACTTGCTGTGAAAGAATTGACACTGGTAAATCCGAAAACTCTTCTAGGATCTTTCATTTGAACTAAGAGTAAGTGAACCAATTTTAGTATTATTAATTATTACTAGCAAGCTCCTCGGGATATATTAATTCAAGAGACACCTGTGCTTTCCACATTTTAAGATAAAAGTGTAACATTAAAATATAATGAATGCTAGAACAGATTTATTTAACCATTATCTAATTACACTCTCTTTATCCTTTTAAACAAGAAAATGTCATTCAATTATGGTTTTATATTATAACATAAGGCAATAGGTTCTACGTGTAACAAGATATAGGAATGTTTTAACTTAGGCATTAGGCATCTTTTAAGGCAAACCAACAGCTAATAATTAACAAAATCTTTTAAAGTAAGAAAAATCTAGGTACCCACCTGATATCAAGTACCCCTTAAGCCGTGGAAGGAGAGTTTCTGGATCAATTAGAGTAAGTTTGCCTAGACATTCAGCAACGACATTTCTGGTTCCTTCTTCTGCACACTCACAGTGCTTTAGCAATAAGGCCCAGATGTTTTCCACATATGGTTTAAGGCCTACCACTGATGCAGAGCTAATAATTTCCTTCAAGGAATGAAGCAGGAGATACTGCCTTTTGGGTTGACTGGTTATTTCTTGTAAGACAAACGGTAGATACTCAGGAAGGTTGCCCACACTAATGCTGCCTAACGCATAGGATGCAGCTGATTTGACTTCTTCACTAGGAGATGAGAAGGCTTCTAATATTACAGATTTTAGTTCCAGCTGCCCACTTAAGTCAATATGATGCCCAACTTCTCCAAGAGAAAGGAGAGCTAAGAGACGAATGGAATCTGTAGACCTTGAGTTCTTGACATCTTGAATAAACTGACCTACTACAGCTGGTCCTTCTTTAGGACATGCTCGAGTAAGGGCAGCTACACATTTGGCAATGGAATAATAAGACTGCTTGTGAGTAAGAGCTGTGCTCTGAGAATAAACTGGACCAGTCAGCATGCGCAACAAATCCATGTATCCTAGATTACTTGTTCCAGTGACAACTAGAGCTTGGAAGAAGTCTAGCATAGCACTGAGAGCGCCCCCCTGCAATAAGGGTGATCTCACAAGTCCAATAAGTTCATTGAGAATGGATCCACTTATCTTTGAAAGGGAAGAGGGATACACTTTTGCCAGTGTGGTAAGAAAACTGATAGCCATCTGTGAAACATGCATATCACTTTCGCTGATAAGAGGTGGGAGCTCATCTAGAACTGCATCAATCATGGCAGCTGTCAAGCTGTCACTGTAGTTTTTAATTAGAATATCTAGGGCAGAAAGGGTACCCAGTTTCAAAGCTCTCTGGTTTTTCCTGAGGAATGAAGCAAGTATAGGAACCCCTTCTCCCAAGACAGGCCTCAAATCAATCTTCAATGGTGACCCAGCAATCAGTGTCAACGCCTTCACTGTAGTTAACCGGGTAATTTCATTCTTCAGTCTCTCCAAGAAAATCTGAAGTGTATTAGGCAAGTCAGAACCCAAATTGTCTCCAAGGTTGCAAATAATTTGTCCCATACAGGAAATAGCCCTTTCCTTGACTTCCTGATCAATGTCAGCTGCTTTTAGCCTCTTAATGGTACAGGTAAATAGATCTTTGATGTAAGGAGTTGCATCAAACGAGGAAGGCTGATCTAAGGGACGAATTACTTTGACAAGTTGCTGAGTAACCAGAAGTGCTTCAGATGTAATCTTGTAAAATGGGTCTCCAACACAAGCTACCACTGGAGGGACCAAAGCCTGAACATGAGGATGGAAGACTTGAGGAGAGTGGTTACAGAGGATTACATATAGACACGATAAAGCATCAATCTTCAAATTCGATGAGCTTGATTTATCATTCAGTGAGAAAATGATTCCTAAAAAGCCAATACAAAAATCCAATATTTATGTAAGGAAAAATTAAAAAACTAATCCCTAAAATATTGCTGGTTTCCACTTCATCATATTATTTCTAAATTAGTATAAATTCCACAATCTATGATGAATATTAGAGCCAAAAATTTTTAAAGATTTTAACCTTTTTACCTGCAAATTTATAACTTTAGGTGTTCAAGATGGTTCTTTAAAAAAGTTCTACGTACAAATTAAGTTGTCACAAATTATCCTTTTGAAGGAAACATTTAAGCTTATCTAAGTCTTAATAAAGTCTATAGGAAGTTTCCGAAAGTGATTTACTATTTCTTTCATACCTGGTACAAGAACAGGAATGTGTTGCGTTAGGGCCCCAGGTAATACATTTACCAGTTCAGTTAACATGTTAAAACAACACTGTCGAGTCTTCACACTTTTTTCTTTCATCTGTTTGTGCAGAGCTTTAACAATGTTGGGAACCTGTAATTATCACACACTCATTAGCTGGTTCAGCTATCAATATAACACAAATTACAGGGGATGGGGAAAAAGGGGAGACTTTACCTTTCTTTGTTAAATTCCTAATTCTACTAACTGCTAACAAGACTGTTAGATACAAACTTTGTTGTATCAATTACATTCTCTTGTAACTGTATTTGCTTGACACTGATAAATAAGAAAATAGAGAAACGATATCATTAACTTTCTACAGAGCAACAAAACTGTCTTCCTTGCTTAATTTCTAATTATGAAATACACAAGACTAAACAAAAATCTAACGAAATAAAATTTTCAACCAAAATTTTTGAAACATAATTTAGAAATGTTTTTTTCTGAATATAAATAGTACAGACAAGCATTGAAGGTAAAAAAGACAAATTATAAAAAAGAAACCATTAAATGGGCCCTAATTTTTACTTTTAGTTTGCTGTTACAGTGAAATCAACCTCACTTCAAATGTAACTACAAGCAAGCAGGAGGGACAAGATTCACAGATATTTGCTTCTAAACTTTCTAATGTCTTTGTTAGTCAGTAAAACCTAAACGGGTATTTACTAATAAAATCTTATGGGTGCCAGGATACAGCCACATATCATACTGAACAATGGTCTGAGAACTAGAAATAAAAGAAAACACCTATCTAATTCATCATCAGAATTTCCCATTTCACCTAACTTCTATACATTTAATTGCTTGTCATTCACATACTTTATCTCATTTCTTTCTACAGTTAATCTTCAGTGTTCACCTTTAAGTTCACTATAATTTTTTTCAATTTGTACTACTTGAAAACTAGATATAGTACGTACATCCCCTTCCCTGGTTTAGTTGTTTACTCTGACTCAAGTTTTATAATCTATAAAAATGGACAAAGGGCTGGCTGAGTGGCTCAGTTGGTTAAGAGTTGGCTTAAGAGTGTGAGCTCTGAGCAATAGGGCCGCCGGTTCAATTCCCACATGGGCCAGTGACGCTGCGCCTGAGCTGAGCTGGACTGTTGCTGAGCTGCCAACAGGTGGCAGGATGGCTCAGCTGGTATAACAACAAGATAGCCTGTTTGATGGTGGGCTATGCCCACCCGCAACTAAGATTGAACACAGCACCTTGAGCTTAGAGGCCATGCTGACGAGCAGCCAGATGGCAACTAGCGCCCTCCACAACAAAGACTGAAAAACAACTTGGCTAGTCCCCTTCCCCAACACTGTTCCCCTCCCCAATTCCCCAATAAAATCTTTAAAAAAAAAGATAGCCTTTCCAACAAATGGTGTTGGAACCATCGCATATACATATGAAAAAAGGAGAACTTGACCCATGCCTCACACCTTATGCAAAAATTAATTCAATGAATGATAAGTTAAAAGTAAACATAAAAAAAAAGACAAATATGACGCCAAATGAGCTGCCACAGAGATTACATATAAGGTAGGAAAATGCCTAGCATGTACTAAATATTCAACAAATGGGAGCTATTTTGCTGTTAACATTTAGATCTTAGAAAAGTGGTCCGAGAGTGAAAAGTACGTATTTTATTAATAAGAACTGGCATTTATAAGTACTTACTATATAGTAGGCACTACATTAAGTGTTTACATAGATCATCTCATCTCTCACTATCTTGGGTAGACAGTTCTAAGTGAACCCTTATTACAAATGAGAAAAGCGAGGTGTAATAAAATGACCAGTTTCTCCAAGATCACACAGCTTAATTAAGAGTAAAGCCAGTTATGAATATAAGCAGTCTGACTCCACAGCTCTGAGACACCTCCACTAATATCAAAAATAAAAATTACTGAATCTTAAAATTATTGTCATATTATTTATCCAGTAAAATAAAGAATACTTCAATCAGAATAAACTATTGACAAGTAATGTAATACGCGCATACATAATTATGATACAAACATATCTCAGAAGTATGCTTCTCTAAAGATGTTCTAGAACTCTCATTTCCATATTAAAAACACAATTTAAAAGATCACATTTACTAGTGTGACTTTCAAAACCATACTTTTAAACCTACCTGACTCTGAAGCATTGTTAAAGGTGTTTCTCCCTGTTCCATTGCATCAGGGTCACACAGCCAACTTTGCACAGGACGAGTTTGCTTCAAAAGAGAAAGGTATGCATGAAAAACATCTGCCTTTACATTCTCTTCACGCTCTTTAAATCTGGATATCAGTGCAGGAGAGACGGTCTTGTAGAATTCTGGAAGCATTTCGTGCCTTGTGCTAACTACAGCATCCAAGCACTTCGCAGCGGCACGTCTCACTTTCCAGCTCATGTCATCATCATCACTGTATTCATCATCACTCCCTAAAGAGAAGTTTTAATGTTAGGTTATTAGTCATAGGAAAAGTTTGTTGTTTAATACAAAAAGTGAATTGATATTCATAACTAATACAGTTTTCTAACTTTTCACTAACATATGTAGCAGCAGATACGTTTTATAAAGAACTAGAACTTAAACAGATGCAGTTAATTTATATAAATTTACAAATAAATCTCTAAAGAAAAATGATGATGATTGTGTTTTTAATTTGTTAAACATTTTCTCAAAAAAACCCGAAACATTTTCTTATTTATCATGGGTAATGAGCTGCTTATTAAACCCTTTAAAATCATGAATACATTAAACTTCTTTAGAACATAAATATTTGTAAAATCGCCAATGTCCCAGTCTTTTAAACAATATGAGTAAAAGTTTAATTCATAGAAATCACTTGACACTATAGGAAAATCAAACAAACAATCAGGGAGTTTACAAGATAAACCATGAAATAGACTTTAGCTATAGATGATGATGATGTGATAAAAAGAGTGGTTACAAAAATTAACTCAAAATGGATCAAAGACCTAAATATAAGACCTGAAACAATAAATTGCACAGAAGAAAGCACAGGTACTAACTAAACTTACAGACCTTGGGTTCAGAGAGGATTTTATGAATTTGACCTCAAAGGCAAGGGAAGTAAAAACAAATATAAATTAATGTGACTATATCAAACTAAAAGCTTCTGCACAGCAAAAGAAACCATCAACAAAACAAAGAGGCAACAAACCAAATGGAAGAAGATATTTGCAAATGATACCTCTGATAAGGGGCTAATATATAAAGAACTCATACAATTCAACAAAAAACCCTCCAAACAATCCAATTAAAAAATGGGCAAAGGACCTAAACAGACATTTCTCCCAAGACATACAAATGGCCAACAGATACATGAAAAGATGTTCAACTTCATTAGCTATTAGGGAAATGCACATCACCACCACAATGAGATACCACCTCACACCTGTTAGAATGCCTACTATCAACAAGACAAGTAATAACAAGTGCTGGAGTGGCTGTGAAAAAGAAGGAACCCTCATACACTGCTGGTGGGAGTTTAAATTGGTACCGGCACTATGGAAAACAGTATGGAGGTTCCTCAAAAAATTAAGAATAGAGCTACCATGATGACCCATCAATCCCTCTTATGGGTATCTACCCAAAATATCTGAAAACATTTATCTGTAAAGATACATGTACCCTTATGTTCACTGCAGCATTATTCACAGTGGCCCAGATATGGAAACACCAAAGTGTCCTTAGATGCCTGGATAAAAATGTGGTACATATACACAATGGAGTATTACTTGGCCTAAGAAAAGATGAAATACTGCCATTTACGGCAACATGAATGGATCTTGAGGTTATCATGCTAAGTGAAATAAGTCAGGCAGGAAGGTTGAGAACCATATGTGGAAAATAGAATGGAAAGCAACAAATGAACAAGGTGACAAACAGAAACTAATAGACACAGACATCAGTTTAGTGGTTACCAGAGGGGAAGGGGGTCAAATATATGGTGAGGGAAGGAGAACTGACTCTGGGTGGTAAACACACAATGCGATATATAGATGATGTATTATAGAACTGCACACTTGAAACCTATGTACTTTTACTAACCAATGTCACCCCCCAATAAATTAAAAAAAAAAAAAGTCACCAATCCTAGACATTCTATAGACCTAATTTTCTGGAGAGAAAAAGAATCCTGACATCAGCTTTCTTTGTGACTACAAGACTTTTCACTAAATTTGTTGATGGGTTATTAGGAACAAATATGCATGCATATTCTCAGGCTTTCAAGATACTGTCTTAATGTAGTTTAAGTACACTTTCTCAATTATAACAAGAAAATTCTCCCCATGGAACAACAGAGCACCATCTTCTCCAAGCTCCCTAAAACCATAAAACCATATTTCAGCCATAGGTATTAACAATTCCATCTCATTTATGTATAAACCTGGAATTCAGAGGCAAGATCTGGGGCAACGACTAAATTTAGATTTTCAGCATAATGATATAAAAATCCAGGAGACTAGATGAGATCAACACGAACATAAGAATAAAATGGAGAAGTCCAAGGACCAAACACTGGAATACTCCAAAGTTTAGTGATGAAGAGAAACCAGCATGAACACTGAAAAGGATAAAACCAGGAGACTGTGGTATCCTGAAAATTAAATCAATGCTGCTGGAACTGAGTAATAGGCAGAGTCAAACACTTGAGGTCACTGGCAATCTTGTCCATCACTGAATATTGGATTCAAGAGAGAAGGGGAAGAAAGGAACCAGATAGCATTCTTCTGAGGAGTTCTGTTGTAAAGGAAAGAAACTGGGCAGTAGCGACTAGAAAATAATCCTTCCCCCAACCCCTTCCCCCCAGCTCCCTTTCCCAACTCTTTTTCCTATAAAATCCTTCCATTTTTTACAACCTTCAGAGCACCTTAGCTGTTGCTAGATGGGATACTGACTGATACATAAATTACTTAACTAAAGCCAATCAGATGGGGTTAAGAGAAGTTTTTTATAGTTGTTTTTGTTTTGTTTTAAAAAGACTGATGAAATTATAGATTTAGAGAAAAAGTCATTATTCAAATTCACTCAAAAAATGAAACTAGAAAGTCTTACAAAAAAACAACAGGAAATCCACCAACCCAGATACAAACTAACTTACCCATTTAAACATCTCTATTATGATTCTTTTAATACCAGCAAACAACAAAAAGGGAGCAGCCCCTATGTCCTTCTGGAAGTGCTACTCCTTCTGGGGTAAATACCACACAAATTATAGCATGACATGAACCTTAAGAGCCCCAGAAATGTTTAGGTTACTCATTAATGTTAAATGGAGTCTCCAACAATATTTAGGATTTTTCATGAGAGTAACTATGTATAAAACCAACCACTCTGCTCTGAGTATGTATATCTATATCTATAGGTATAGTTATAAAAATAACATTCGTTTCCCTCCTTAAAAAACACTTTGTAGGGAATCTGAACAATAAAGCACAAAAATCATTTATAATTGCTAGCCAAAAGAAAAATACTAAGTACATTTTTTCTGTATATTTAAAAAAGTTAAAAAAAAAAAAAAAGAAATAATCACAGGCCCCAAATGGCATCACTAGGGCTAAAAGCCCATGATACCAAACCTAGATGGAATACCTGATCTAACTGCAGTTTCAACATCTCCCAGAAACAGAATCAACCAGTATGGTATTCTGGTCAAGTACCAGTGAGGTAATCTGTCACACAGGCCCTTCTCCATCCTCCATTGAAAGACGAGGCAATCTTCACAAATCCCCTGGCCTTCCCCCAAGAAAAGATGTCCCAGAGCCAAAACAATCCTTCCCCAACCCCTTCCCCCCAGCTCCCTTTCCCAACTCTTCTTCCTATAAAATCCTTCCATTTTTTACAACCCTTACAGCACCCTAGCTGTTGCAGATGGGATACTGACTGATACATAAATTACTTAACTATAGCCAATTAGATCTTCAAATTTACCCAGCTGAATTTTGTTTTTTAACAAATCGGACACAGTAATTTTTGTTACCTACTTTTTCACTAAAACTTATTAACTGCTTTAATAAATATTTTTCTAGAACATGATTTTGAAAATGCTGCATAGCAGTTCAATACCGTATTTGCCGGCGTATAAGACGATTTTTTGGCCCTGAAAAATATGCCTCCAAGTGGGGGGTCGTCTTATACGCCAGGTACACTTCAGATAGACTGCCCATAGTGCTTGCCCCGTGCCATAGTGGTCTCCCGATGCCCACCCACTTCATTCCACATACCGTTCAGGCATCAGCAGCGCTGCTGGGTGTATGCTCGGCTGTTATGCGATTTTGCTGTTATGCGATTTTACCACACTGGCAAAATCGCACACAGCCGACCATACACCCAGTATGATAGCGCAAAATCGCGAATCGCGATACCATACTGGGTGTATGGTCGGCTGTGTGCGATTTTGCGAGTGTGGTAAATTCGGGTTACCGTATATTTCTTTACATATGCATTGAAGATTCGCGATTTTGCGCTATCATGGTGCCTGTTAGAATGTTGAAGAGCTCGCACTTGCGCACTAGTGAGGTCCCAGGGAGATGCTGATGCAAGGGTGGACCAGACTGCTATAGTGACAGGGCGGGCAAACAGGGAGCAGGGACCAATCAAATCAGGCTTTGTATACAGCCAACAGCCAACCACAATACTGCACCATTGTACAGTACAGCATAGAAAATGTCGACCAGTCAAATGTCGACCAGCCTATCATCCCTATCATGGCACCAGCCAAAAGAAAGAAGTATGATGCAAATTTTAAACTGAAAGTTATAAACTTTGCTAAGGAAAATAATAATTGTGCTGCTGCAAGACAATATGGAGTAACAGAAAAGATGGTTCGGGACTGGAAATCAAATGAGAAAGCATTAAAGAGTATGCCAAGGGGTAAGTGTGCATTAAGAAGAGGCACCCCACACTGGCCAGAACTCGAAAAACATGTAGCAGACATGGTGGCTCAACATTGCCAAAACGGTTATGTGGTGACACGAAATACAATACGCTTGTTTGCACTTCAGTGGGCCAAATCAAATCTGATATTGTTTTACCTTTTATTTGGTGTGTGGAAGGTGTGCGGAAGAGGGGGTAGTCTTATACGGCGAGTATATAACAAACTCTGTATTTTGAGTGGAAATGTTAGGGGGTCGTCTTATACGCCCAGTCGTCTTATACGCCGGCAAATACGGTACATGGATGCCCCATAATTTATTTAATCAATTTGCTATTGTTGAACATTGAGGTCATTTCATTACAAATAAACAAATAGTATAATTTGGGGTAAAAATCATCTCCATCTATAACACTGGGTCTTTCATGAAAATTTAACAAATGGCTTCTATTTAATTTGAAATACCTTGGTCATCATCATCACCACCATCTGCATCCATGGCATTTTCATCTTCATCTTCATCATCATAATTATAATTTGGATCATAGGTAAGATATTTAAGACAAATATTTATAATGGTAGAAACATGAGGATATACTTCCTTAGGGCATCTGAAGAAAGAAACAAAAGCTGCCTCGAGTAACTGTACTTTTCTCCTTGATTAAATACCTGCCACATTTTGCTTTATTACCAGAATTTTTTCCTCCTCTTTAATAGAAAGTAGTTCCCAGCCTTCTCAACACCAATGACCCTACATCATTCTCTCACACTGGCTTTGTTTTAAAAGGTTTACTTTTCAAATTATATTTATGTAAATCAATTGTTTAAGATTAACTTTGACCTTCACATTTTAACATCTCTGAAGCTGGGATGATTTTTATAATAAAGGGTGTATCAGGGTTAATGTGGGGAAGTATAGAGAGAAATTGTATACAGTGGTCCATACAGTGGTCCCCTGCTTATCCGTGGCTTGTATGTTTCAAGTGGATACCTGAAACTGTGGGTAGTACTGAACCCTACATACATTGTGTTTTCCTATTTATACATTCACTTTTATGGCTTTTCTTTGGCACATCAGAAACGCCAGCATCATTACACTTGCATTTGGGGGCCATTATAGTCATGCACCGCAGAGAAAATTTTCTGTCAATAACAGACCTCACATATGATAGTGGTCCCATAAGATTATAATGGAGGGCCGGCCAAGTGGCGCGTTGGTTAGGGGTTGGCTTGGGACACCAGCTCTGAGCAGCAGGGCCCCAGTTTGGATCCCACATTAGGGCCAGTGACACTGCGCCCTCAACAGTTAATGGTGAACAACAGCTTGACCTGGAGTTGGGCTGCTGTGAGTCGCCAGTGGTGGCGTAGGCTGCAGCCCCTGCTGCAGTGGGCTGCCATGAGCTACTGTTGAGTGGCTGGCAGGTGGCATGAGCTACCAAGAGACCAATGGCCGGCAAGTGACTGCCTCACCTGGGAAGAGCGCAATAATACCAACATGGGCCAGTGAAGCAACGTCCTCCACAACTAGACTGAAGAACAGAAGGACAGTGGCTTGTCTGTTCCCCTCCCCCAATTCCCCAATAAAATCTTAAAGAAAAATGATTATAATGAAGCTTAAAAATTCCTATCGTCCTAGTGATGTAGAGTCTTAATGCAAAGCATTACAGAAACACTTACCCTTGTGGTACAATTGCCTACAGTATTCAGTACAGTAAGATGCTGTACAGGTTTGTAGCCTAGGAGCTGTAGAGGAACAGAATCTGTAGCCCCACATATGTATCTTTGGTAAGGATTATTTTTGGCTGATTAAGAAACAGCAGACATGGGAGAAGCTCTGAAAACCAGTTAGAAGTTACCCTTTGTAAAAGACATTTACATTTGTAAGGTTTTCTCTCCGGCTATATACCAGAAGAGGAAGACCTTATCTCTAGAAACTCCTACCAATGCAGACAGTAAGGACTCAAATCTGCATAACAACCACATCCTTGTTTATTTGTGCTTTTCCCATTAACCTCCCTTAACTGACTCCCCCACCCCTAACATCATTTTCTCTGTCAGCTAAAGGTGGTATTTAAGGGGTGGCTTCAGCCATTTTGGCAGGTTACTCAGTTTTCGTGGGTCGCTCCCATGTAGACAGGAGGTATACATGTTATTAAACTTTTGTTTTTCTCTTGTTAATCTGCCCTTTATTAGGGGTTTCTCAATCAAGAACCCGGAAGGGTAGAGAGAAAATTCCTTTTCCTCCCCTACACAACAGGCTATATACCACATAGCGTAGGTGTACAGTAGGCTATACCATCGAGGGGTGTGTAAGTATACTCTATGACATTTGCACAAGGATGAAATCACCTGACAAGGAGTATCTCAGAACATATCCTCATCGTTAAGCGGCACATGACTGTAGTAAGTAAAATAAGGGTTACTTGAACATAAGCACTGTGGTATGCAACATGCAACAGTGGATCTGATAACCAAGACTAGTAACTAAAGGTCTGGTAGCATATGAGGCATCGATACACTGAACAAAAGGATGAGTCACGTCCTACAGGATGGGAAGAGGTTCCATTAGGCTACTCAAAAACATGAATTATTTCTGGAATTTACCATTTAATATTTTCGGACCATGGCTGACAGCAGGTAACTGAAACCGCAAAAAGAGAAACCACGGATAAGGGGAGACCACTGTATGCTGTATCTTCTCAACATGACTGGAAGACGAAGCCCACAGCAGCTAGCATCATGTGTGCACAGGCATCTAGGTTTGGTCTTCTAGCTCTATGTTGAGACTACAGAACATATAAATGCCCCCAAATAAAGGAATAATTTGTGTTTCTCAATTAAAAGGACAAAAGTGAATCACACAATTTCTGACTGTAACAATCTGACATGACTATAAAGCTTTAAAACCATGAGCAGGAAGGGACTGCTACAGGTATTAAGGTAACAACCAGCGAAGTCTCAAGAAACCGTGCTACTACAGTCAATTCTAGCCAAAAACAAAAAGAAAAAAAAAAGAAAGAAAGAAAAAATCTGTTACTTAGCCAGTATGGCCCCTTCTAGTACATAAATATGCAGCTTTTATTACTAGAACCAAGTTTTCTGAATTGAGAACCACTGCCCTTGCAAAATGGATATGACAAACCCAAAATCTGTTGAAAAGATATGAAATTCACTATATATTTCTGACCAGATAACTAATTTACCCCAGTGCTCTCTCATGATAGATTACATTATTAAATTAAACCAAAAGACAATTACAAATACTTTTCCTAAGTTCTTTCAATAAAGTGCTAACAATGACAAGGAAACATTTAAAAATAAACGTAAGGGCTGTATTTTAAAATATAAAATTATATTCAAATATCATATTAGTTATCAGTTACTGTTTAGTGAAAATTTAATTAAAACACATCAAAAATCCAAATCTTTGCTGTTTGTAAAATAACCCATTTCTCCTCACTCACCTAATCTAGATCTTAATTATTATTCTATTCTTAAGGAAAATTTTTATTTGGAAAATAGAGATTAAAAACTTACCTTCTCACAAATGATTCAAAGGCTTGAATGCAGTACTCTCTTAACTCATCGTCATCAATATTACAAAATTTTACCACCAAAGGAATTATCTTCTCAAGGTATTCACCTAAGAAAAGCATATTGGTTCTTAAAAACATTCATTAATACTTTTTTATATTGAAGAAAACTTGAAAATACTGAAACATTTCTTACCTATTCTATGACCAGCTTGCCTACTAATAGCAGCAATGCATTGTATGTAGGTTCTTGTTGTTGACATGGAATCATTTTTGGACAACTCTGACAACAGATGTTCAATAAGATCTACAAAAACTATATTTCCACAGCTCATAACCAGATGGCCAAGAGCAATAATGGTTCTCTTCCTCACTGCAAGTCTAGGGCTGGTCAACTGGGGGAGTAGACAGGTCAGAATTGAAGGATGGAAGTTAACAAGAAGTCCTCCTTGCCTTAAAATAAAATAAAAAAAGAAAACGACAAATAAATTCAAGATGTCTGAATATTACTGAAATGCCTGGTCTCTGAAAACAATGTAGTCAGAGAGTAAAAATTTACTTAACATATTCCAAATTCAGAATTAAAGGAAAACTAAACTCTTACTATCTCTACCAACTCAACTGAAAATCTGAGTTATGTGAATGTAGTTTTGAAATTTGTATCCCTAAATTTCCATCTGGAATCTAGACCTATATTCTCATTTATAGGATATCCAACCAACAGGCTTGGGAGAACATAAAACAAACAAATTTGTTACTTTTCCCCTTCCCAGATCTCTAAATTAATTTGCTCTATTGATAGCTTTTTCTCTATTACAGCTTTTTGGGGGTTCACAACATTCAAAATCTCAGCATCTCTTATCCACCCCCTCTCCCTATTGTCTTTCCTCTACACATCTATATACTGAATTTCACTTCTCCTGTTGGTCCAACCCTCTTCCAAATCATTTCATATGTGCAGTTCAGTGAGACCACAGCAGTCAAATACCTATGTGCCAGGACAACGCTAGTAATCAAGGCACACAAAGGACAAAAATTCTAACTGAATTTCACTACTTACCAAATTAATTATCAATTCCTCACCCTTCTCAACATGCCTCCAATCTATCATAATCACTTCCTACTATATTTCTATTCATTCTATATTCTGGGAAACTAGAATACAATGTTTCCAACTCCAAGACTATGTATGCTCACATATCCTGTATCTGGGCATATACATTCTTCAAATCTAAATTCAAATGCTATTCTCTCCATACAAACTTTCTTGGATCCTTCCATTTTAAACCCCAAAACACACTATATTCCCAGTTGGTATTACCTTATCTTATAGCCACTTGTGTTCTAATCAACTATAGTAAAGTACAACTCTGTGAATCAGGATGATGGCTCTTCATTTCTACTATACATATGTACCACACGAAGGCATTGGATTATTTTGAAGTTAAAGTAAATTAGCTACAAATAACACATAGACAAATAATGATGACATATATTGAGTATGAGAATCAGGGATAAACTGAAATTGACAGGTCTTTTTAAGGCATTTTGCCGAAAAGTTACTTAGATGTTTCTATTTCTCCAAGTTTGACTTTCAGAGGAAAGTAGAAAAGCAACAAATGTATAAAGCCAAGTTCCTTCCTTCCCAAAAACATGCAGTATAAACACTGTTGCTGAAGTTGACAAACAGCATTATTTTAACTGGAAAAATCTGCCAAGTCTACAGACACATCTCCTTAGTATGTAGATCACTGTATTCAAGAATATAAGAATAAAACAAAACAAACACTGTGCTGAAATATTTAAATCATAAATTTTATTCATTACTTCTTAAAACTATATAAATGATGCTTGCTATACAATATTACATAATATAGTTTATTTTTCCCCTCACTCCTAAACACACATATTTATAAAACAGTCACAATGTAAACATGAGTAATTTTAGACCAAGTTTTATTATACATATTAGAAGGGGTTTTTAATAAATGCACATATTTATAATACAGACAATAGATATATTTACCTGCTCAACATATCAGCCATAATATCCAAGGCTTCTAGCTGAACAGAGACATCTTCCTGCTTTGCTATTGCACTGGTAAGACGTCCAGTAATCTTTTTACACACATTAGCAGCTAGTGCAGAGCCTGCATGAATAAGAAACCAGTAACAACTGCAAGGAACGTATGTTGAGTTCCACCTTATATTCATGGAAGTTGGCAAATATTCAATGACTTTAAACTTGATTATGAGACTCACTCAAGAGATTTATGTCAGAAAAACATGCATTCCAAAACAGGTTGTTTTTCAATAAAATAATTAGACATAAACAAAAATTAGAGACAACTGCAGAAGGAGTACATGACCTAGGGAAAACAATACTAATTCAATAGGTTCTATTGGACAACTATTTCCATGCACTGTAATGAATGCTAACTATGGAGCCAGTAGTAGCTCTAAGTGCTTGGAAAGCAGCAATGAGATTTTTCTCTACTGCAGTCCTCTTTACTGGTAACCTAGACTTTTAAATTTCAGTGAATTAAAAACCAATGATTAACATAGTTTCTTCAAAAAAAAAAAATAGCTGTAACCTCTAATAAAATCCTTTCCAATCCAAAGATTCCATAACTTCATTACAAAGTAAAAATGTTGTTCCAAAGGACTCGTAAACCAAGTTATTACTATTTTAAAGTAAATTTGTGTTGATATTAAAGTGTGAGGAAAAAAAGAAATAAGAAATTTTGAAAGGAAGAATCTGAATGGTTAACAACTAGAAATCAGTTAAAAACAAACATGTTTAATGGGGAAAGAAATGAGGAAAATAAACGATAGCTAATACAACTATAAATAATATACTTCAGAGTTGCTGAAATGTTTTATTGGAATTAATTAATAAGGGTAAAGTAACATTGGTATGATACCTTAGAAGCATCAACTCTGGATTAAAAGATAACGTATTTGAATTCTCAGCCAGCCAGGGAACCAAAACTTTGGGTTAATTAATAATGTTCTCTTGGAGTTTCAGTTCACTCATCAACAAACTAGGACTATTAAAACCTTTCATATGGCTGATGTTTAAACTAAGTGAAATAATACACATATATCATCTAACTTGATGGCTAACATAGTGAATGATTAATATTTATTAAGTAAATGAGTGAAAACTATACCCCCAGGCTATATTATTACCAATCTACATCTTTCAACAAAATAGGGAGATAATTTCACTCCATTTGCAGATAAGACCAAAACTTTTAATCTGATAATTCTGGCCAACAGGTTAGCAGTTAAGACCAATTCTAAAACTTACATTATATAAACATTTCTGTCAGAGGCCAAAAGCTAATTAATTGACAATTTCATTAATTTTAGTTTAAGAATTTTTTAAATTACCAAGTAGCTACAAGAGGCTCAACCTTAAATAAAGATACTAGTAAACTGAACTATTTTACAGCTGTCTTAACAGTGTTAAAAGTTTGACATCATAAATTCTAATGCAAAGCAAAACTGTTATTAAAAATAAGAGCTAATCAGAGATAACTCATGATTCTGGTTATCTTTTCCCACATTGTATAAGTTGACATTACTCTGTAGTTACGGTACGTAAAACAATATTAAATCTTGCTCCAACATAAAAATCCTTCAGAATTGGTGTTCCTATGAGATACATAAATTCAATCAAAATATACTCATTTAAAAATGAATTTATTTTTAAGCAAAAATAAACTCTGGACTTTTTTTTTCTTAGATCATTTAGGATATAGACAGATACCTCGCTCTCTCCCTGGCTGAGAGAGAGAGCAAAAAAAAAAAAAAAAAAAAAGAGTAGATGAGAAATACCTCCATGGAAAACGGAAATAGGAAGAAAAATGTGATCTTGCTTACTTACCACTGGAAGCTGGAGGAAGTTCCCCAATTACTGTTTTAAGGCCAATACTTGAAATATCTCGAAGTTGTTCTTTATCGGAAAGCATGTTAGTACAGAGGGTATCTACAATTGTTTCTACTTGGTATTCTTTCACTTTGCTCACTAAAGGGCCAAGACTGTAACATAAAAAAGAAAAAAAAATTAATCTAGATAAATACAAAAACTGAAAAATAGACAAATAGAAACATTAACTTTTCTGCAGAGCAACTGTCAACACAAGTAAATAGACTATGCTTATATCATAAATAGCACACAAGAGTATAAAAGAAATTCTTTTTTAAAATAATTTTTCATTTTTCAATTACAGTTGACATACAATATTATCTTAGTTTCAGGTTTACAACATAGTGATTAAACATTTATATAACAAAGTGGTCACCCAGATAAATCTACTACCCATCTGATACTGTATAGTTATTACAATTTTATTCTTTTATGGCTCAATATTTCATTGTACACATGTACCAGCTCTTTTTTATCTATTCATCCACTGATGGACACTCAGGTTGCCTCCTTATCTTGGTTGCTGTAAATAATGCTGCAGTGAACATATGGATGCACTCGTCCCTTCGAAGTAGCGTTTTGGGTTTCTTCGGATAAATACCCAGAAGTGGGATTACTGGGTCCTTCTTTGTCTCTTGTTAAACCTTTTGTTTTAAAGTCTGTTCTAAGTATTGCTACCCCATTTTTTTGGTTTCCATTTTCATGAAATATCTTTTTCCAACCCTTTACTTTCAATCTCTGTGTGTCTTTTGATCTGAAGTCAATCTCTTGTAGGCAGCATATATAAGGGTCTTGTTTTCTTATCCATTCAGCCAGCTTATGTCTTTTGTTTGATAATCCATTTAAAGTAATTGCTGATAGATATGTTATTTTATTATTCATACTTTTTATTTTTTCCCTTTCTTATTCTTAAAGAAGTCCCTTTAACATTTCTTGTAATACTGGTTTAGTAGTGATGAACTCCTTTAGCTTATCTTATCTGGCAAGCTCTTTATCTGTCCTTTGATTCAAATGATAGCTAGCTTTGCTGGGTAGAGTAGTCTTGGTTGTAGGTTCTTGCTTTTCATCTCTTTGGCTGTTTCATGTTAATCCCTTCTGGCCTGCAAAGTTTCTGTTGAGAAATCAGCTGACAGAGCTATGGGAGCTCCCTGGTAGATATCTAACTTCTTTTCTCTTGGTGCTCTTAAAATTCTTTGTCTTTAACCTTTGGCATTTTAATTATGATGTCCTGGTGTGGACCGCTCTAGATTCATCTTGTTTGGGACTCTCTGAACTTCCTGGGCTTGTATGTCAATTTCCTTTTCAATGTAGGAAAGTTTTCCATTATTATTTCTTCAAATAGGTTTTCAATTCCTTGCTCTCTCTCTCCCCTCCTTCTCCCTATGATTCAAATACTGGTACGCTTGATGTTGTCCCACAGGCCCCTTAAATCATCCTCTTTTTTTTTGCTCTTCTGACTGGGTGTTTCCTGCTACTCATCTCCCAAACCACTGATTCGATTCTCTGTTTCGTGTAATCTACTGTTGAATCCCTCTAATGTATTCTTCATTTCACTTATTCATTTCTGACTGGTTCTTTTTTATGTTTTCTATCTCTTTGTTAAAGTTCTCACTGAGATCACTGAGCATCCTTATAATCAGTGTTTTGAACTCTGTATGTGATAGATTGCTTGTCTCCATTTTGTTTATTATAGTTATTTTTCTGGAGCTTTGCTCTGTTCATTCATTTGGGAAATGTTTGTCTCCCATTTTGGCTGCCTTCTTGTATTTCTTTCTATATATTAGGTAGAGCTGCTATGTCTCCTGGTCTTGGTAGAATGGCCTTGTGTAGTAGGTGTCCTGTGGAGCCCAGTGATGCAGTCTCCCTGTCACCTGAGCCAGGTGCTCCAGGTGTGTTCCTTTTGTGGGTTGTATATGACTTCTTGTTGTAGTTGAATTTTGATTGCTGCTGGCACATCAATGGGAGGGATTGACCCTCAGGCGGATTGGTTCTGAGGGCTGGCCATGACTACAGTGGAAGATCTTTTGCACAGGGGCTGACCCTAGAGAGCAGGATTCGCTTTAGCGGGACTCTCGTGCCTTCCAAGTCTGTCCTTTGTGGAGGTAGTTGGGTGGTGCTCTGATGTAGTCTGAAGCTGGCCACCAGATATGTAGGTTCTGGGCTTCTTGAAATGTGCTTTGGTGCAGGCCAAGGTCAACCACTGCCTGTGCCCTGCCTGGGGCTACTTGGTATAAGCTAAAAATGATCTGCAGATGGACGCCACTTATGCTAGGCTTGGAGGTGCCTGGGAGAGGGAAAGCTGCAAACTAAGGCCGGTTGCTGCTAGTGCTGGGCTTAGGGCTGCTTAGCAAGAGGTATGGTACATGTTAAGGCCAGATGCTGCTTGTTTGGGATTTGTGAACCTTTGAGAGATTTAGGAAAGTCTGCAGCATGAGCCAAGATAGACCGATTGTATGGAAAAGCCACTGAAAGTGGCTTGGGTGAGCCCACAAGTTGGGTGGGGTGAGGTCTCAGGGAACCACCAGGGTGGGGCAAATGGTGTGACCCAGGTTGATGGAGACTCAGACAGGGCGCCTGCCTCCATCTGCAGACTGGGTGGAGGACGGAGGGTTCAACGAAGGAACAATGGCTTCTGCCAGTACTTCTGTCTGGGAGAAAACTGCCCCTCCATCCCTTGTTCTAAAACCAGACAATTTATTTTCTCCCCGTATATCCCTGGCACCTTCTGAGTTGCTCTCCCAGAGCTGGAGCTCAGAGCAAGTGAGTATGTCAGCAAGTAAGTCTCCGTGTGAGCTCTTTAAAAGGAATGCCTGGGAGTCCAGCAGCCCTCTGTCTCACTCAGCCACAATCTCTGCTGGTTTTCGCAACCAAAAGTTATGGGGATTTTTCTTCCTGGCACTGGAACCCTGGGCTGGGGAGCCTGATGTGAATCTTGACTCCTCACTCCTCAAGGAGGAACCCCCCCAGTCCGAAATATCTCTTCTGATTTTTAACCACACATGAGTGCAACCAGCCCAGCTCTGCGTCTCCATCCATTCTATGAGTCTCCACGTGGCTTCTTCTGTATATCCTTAGTTATGTTCAGCTAGACTTTAGGAGATTCTCAATGATGGTTCTGCAGTTTAGATATAATTTTGATGCGGTTGTGGAAGGAGACCAGAGCAGTGTTTACCTACTCTGCCATCTTGACCAGAACTCAAGAGATTCTTGATGGATAAACTTCTTGCTGTTGGTTTCCAATTTTTTCCCCATTGATTTCCATCATAGTATCATGAAACATAAGGCAATACTACTTTGTGCTCTCAAAGGACCTTGTATATAATTTGCCTTTAATATTAGGATTTTTATACCGTTATTATAGGTTTGCATGTAGGTCCACTGGCCGAGGAGAGAGAAAAATCCTTTTGTGCTCTTCCCAAAGAATTTTGCAGAGTAAGTAATGCTTGTGTATGAATATTCAATGAGAAGCCATTTTATTCAAGAATGTAGTGAAGAAAAAAAGTATGGCCCCTATCTCCAAAAAATTACCATCTGGTTGGTGAGGTAATGAATTCACATTAACTACTTTAGAAATTAATTGAAGATATTCACTACTCTGCACAATTAAAAAAAAAACTTTTAAACTCAATGTTAGTATTTACAGGAGATTGCACCTAAGAGATTTTTAGTTACTGGGTTTTGATGGGATATAGTAAAAACAGAAAAGCATTTCAAATTAAAAAAAAAAATCAGACACTAGAATGAGTGGAATGCATACTGAAAAAAAAAATGAGGAGTGAAAAGAACTGTTTGATACAAAAGGCAGATGAAAAACACAACAGGAAACTTAGGCCCCTGGGGCATTATGGAGAACCTTTTAAGTTAGGCCACTGAATTTAAATGTGGTAAAATTAAAAGCCAATGTACTTTCTCAAGCGTAACAGAATGAAAATAGTTTAATTTGATAAATATTCAGATCAATGTTTCACATATACCAGGGTGCCAAAAAAATGTATACAAGTGGACACTTTGGTCAACGTTGTTCAAGCAGTAGTTCGCCTTAATCAGATGTGTGTGGATGCTGATGGTAACCACTTTGAGCACCTCTTGTAATTGCAGAAGTCAAACATGACTTGTATTCACCTTTTGTTATTGGTATATATTGAGTATTACAATTTTAATAGTTTATTCCTTTCTTAAAATGTGTATACATTTGTTTGGCACCCTCTGTATATGTTCAATAAATAAATGCTGACTGATTGCTTTACTAGAGAAGTATTATATTAGGGAAATAAATTGGGGAATTAAGAAGAGAAAGGAAGAAAAATAAACAGAGAGGTTGGAGAAATCCAAGAACAGCCCAATCCAAAATGATGGCAGTGACAACAGAGACATGGTATATATGTAGGGAATCTAATAAGAAAGAATAAAAATTGGGAGTGACAATAAAAAGAATTGCAAAAACAAATTTAAAGAGTTCTAGCTTCCATTAATGATAAAATAGTTTTGTTGGACTAACCCTCTTGTAGCTAACAACTGTAAAACCTCTAAAACTATTGTTTTAGAAAACAATTTGAATGCCAGATAGTGAAAGAATTAAAACCAGAGAAAAACTGTCTACCTAGATTTACATATCCAGTGAAATCACCCTTTCAAATGAAGATTAATTAAGACAATTTCAGATAAAAGCTGAGAATATAATACCACTAGACCTATATTACAAGAATTGCCAAAAGTTCTCTAGGGTAAAGGAAAATAAAGCCAGATGGTAACTCAGATTTGCAGGAAACAATAAAAATCACCTGAAATGGTAAATGTGTATATACATAAAAGGCTATATTTTAAAAATTATATATTTTTGCCCTATGGACATAAACACACACACACACAAAAATATAAAATAGTAGCACAAAGGAGAAGGTAAATGAAAAAATGTTACTGCAAGGTTTTTGTAATTTATATCATGTGGTACAATATTAACTTTTAATAGATTGTGATAAATTTAAAATACAATTTTTCCCTAGAGTGAAAAAAAAAAAAGCAAAGATATTTATCTAAAAAAGTCAACAGAGCAAATCAAAGATAAATATTGTAAAACAGTGATTCCCAACTTTTTGGTTTCAGAAACCCTTTT